CCCGGCCCCTGGGCTGCTCCTGCTCAGCACCCTGGGGCAGAGCTGGATGGAGGGAGCTCTAGTCTATCCCTTTGCCTCACTTCTTTTGTTTTCTCCCTCCCCACCCCCAGAAAGGATTCGGCTTCAAGGGCAGCAAGTTCCACCGTGTGATCAAGGACTTCATGATCCAGGGAGGAGATTTCACCCGTGGAGATGGCACTGGAGGTAATTTGTCGCACACCAGCCCAGGGATCTGGGCACTGACTTGAAGCGAGACAGCAGCCACACTCCCAGCCCGCTGCCTGGCTACCCCTGGGGACCAGCGTGGAGCTGGATCACAGTGCCGCAGTGGGGACGAGTGGGCACACAGCTCATGGAGACCTGGCCTTGAAGCAGAGTTTGGTGCTGGGGAAGGGTGGGTGCAGCAAGGGCTGGCTGGTACCCATGTAACTGTGCCCTCCACGCCGGGAGGACCTGGAGCTCCTCACTTTGAGAATACTTTCCTCTGCAGCAGCTCATGACTCTGCTGGGCGTCCTGGCTGCCAGGACACATTTAGTCCAGTCACAGCAGAGTTCAAACCTTCCACCAGCACTTAGCAAACATGAGTAGAGTTCATAATACCAGCATCTGGGCTTGTAAGCTCTTATCTGACTTGCTCCTTGTCATGCTGCAGCTGAATGGGGTCAGGTCTGCTCTCACATGGCCTCCTGCTCCGCTCCCTTGAGGGAGCAATCTCTCCTACCCAGCTCGTGGGATGCTTTTAGCTCATGGTTCCTTGCAGCCCTGCAGTGCTGGTAGTTAGTCCCCCCTCTAGATGTGCTCATCTACCCCACCCAGCCTGCAGAGAGAGCTGCCATCGTCGCCCCTACCCTGACATATTTCCATGAGAGCAACATGGCCTTTTTTTCTCCTCCCCCTTAGGAAAAAGTATCTATGGGGATCGCTTCCCTGATGAGAATTTCAAGCTGAAGCACTACGGCCCTGGCTGGGTGAGCATGGCCAATGCCGGCAAGGACACCAACGGTTCCCAGTTCTTCATCACCACGGTGAAGACCCCATGGCTGGACGGCAAGCATGTGGTGTTCGGCAAAGTGCTGGAGGGCATGGTAAGGGGGTGCTGGGTGGTAAGGGGGTGATCGATTCCCGGGGGGAGAGTGGGACCGGGCAGATGCACTGTGGAGAATGGGCTGGGACGGGGATTGCACTGAGCCGGCTCTGCCCGTGCCCAGCATTGCCCCACTCTCAGGCCTCTGCTTTCCCCAGGATGTCGTGAGGAAGGTGGAGAGCACTAAGACAGACAGCCGGGACAAGCCCCTGAAGGATGTCGCTATTGCCGACTGCGGCGCCCACGAGGGCGAGAGG